GGCTGAATTGCACAAAACGCATGATCGCACCGGCTAGTCTGGTGCGCGTTGCCATTTATTTTACAGGAAACAACCTTAGCCACTTAATCTGATTAAAGTTTGAAAGTTGCTACTGTTGGCAGCTTGCACACGCTAGCACCTGCGGATTGTTCGCAGGCCAAATTTTTGAAATCGCGAGTCCGTATTGAATGAATTTTATAGTCCGCTCTGCACCTGCATAACAAACGTCAGGAGAGCTACTGATGTTTAAGAGCAGTGGCCGTACAAATCGGTGCCTCACTTGTCCGTTTCTTGAGTTTCTGAAAAACTGGGAAATTCAGAAAAATTTTTGACAAAAACGAAAAATTTTCTAGATTATTGAAACTAAGATAATTTTTGAACGTATTTATGAGGAAGTAAGACGTATTCCAATGCTAATGCGCGGAGTGACTAGAGATTCGTACAAAAGTGAATAGAGCCTTACGCGGTATAAATTATTCAGCTTAGCTCCTGCCGCACTTTCTGGAATTAAGAAATAAATTGCTATTGCTGCGGCTCTTGTGGAACAACATATTGTAGGTATGTATGCGGAGAATCATGGTTTCGGGGCAGATTACATGTGGGACAGAGAAAAGAATCGCGCATTTCGGAAAGGCGTAACAAACAGTACGGATAACAAATGGTGGTGGTCCGGAGATATAGCGCCTGCTTGGTATACCGCTGGCAAATCAAACATCGACGTGCACTGTTACTGGATACCCGGATGTGATGTAAGTTTCGAATATTTCATCTCACTGCTTTAAACGTATTCTGCCAAAACTAACAGTGGTTGTTTCATAAATTGCTCAAGAAGTTATAATAATTTTTAGGAACGGAATCGGGGTTAGGACTATACATATCTTTTAGAAATGGTATCCTTGTGGGGATGGTTTGAAGAAAATGAAAAAATCAGGCGAGGTTTACGAATTTTGTTTCTTTTCTTCGTAATCATCATTCTCGATAGAGATATACTTAGCAAGACCACAAAACAAATGAAAGTAAAGCTGCCAACATTCTGTTTTCCAAAGAGCGCGCTGTCGTTGTAGCTGCTACCACTAGTTCTGCTGCTGACGCCAAAATCTACATATAGTAAGAGGGATGGGAAGTTTCGGGCAAACTTGATGCTTCATATTTGACATCCAGTATTTGCAGCTACCGTTTCGGGATATGATCGTGCGGGTACCACGTGAACGTAAATACAGTGGTTCAGATCCAGAACAAACCAACGCAGTAGAAAGTTACTTTCCTGAGATTGTTGAACGAATTGTTAAATATCAATCATACAAACAGCAAGTAATTTTCAATCTCATTGTTCATTCTCTAAAACAAGCTGTACTAGATCTACGATTTTTCTCCTGTCACATACAACGCTGAACCAGCCTCTTCATCCATGTATAAAATTATTACCAAGTTTCTCAAATTTGTTTAAAAAAACAGTATGTTTTGCTGAAACAATCTTCTTCTTTTCTCTCTCTCTTTTTTTTTGGCAGCTTTCAATGTTTCCCCTCTTGCAAAGTTGACCAGGGCACTTTTGCAAATGAATCCCTTGGCCAAGAAAAAAGAAATTTTTTTACTAATTAATAATCCTACAATATGCTCATGATCCTGTTTCAGTTTTTCTTACTTCGATATGCTGGCGTGCAGGCCGCGTTGGAAACTTTTGGAAGGCACAGTGGCGAAGCAAAGCAAGCGCTAAAAGCAGTTGATCATCATCTTCTTCAATTACAGGTATTCAAGTGCTGATGCAAAATTTATGAATAAATTCCGTTCATTTCCAACATTTTTTATGCAGCAAAAATTTGATCACAAGAATCTTCAAAACTCTTAATTTTTGAAACCTTGAAAGGTTAAAAATTTAAATTTCTTGCAACTGAAACCTTTCAAAAATGCTGCAAAAGTTTCGGGAAAGTAAAAATTGGGTTTAGTTTGAAAAAAAAAAAAGTACTAGATAGCCCACATTTGAACCAAACTTAATTCTTGGGACCGATTCAACGCTTCTAAAACATTGCCTGAAAAACTAGGGGACTTTTTTGATATCCAAATATACACTCAAAGTACGATTTTGCCGTTTTGTTGATAAACTTATAACAAGAAAAATCGCTTTCACGTCACACTTCTTTTCAAGATGTTAGGGACAGTTGT